TCGCTCTCCACAGGAAATCACTCTCCGTTTACTTCTGTTCCTAGCTCGTTTCCGAGAGCTCGCCTCGAGGAAACGATCTTCCGAAACCGGCAGCAAGCCTGAGATTTGTTGGGGTTCTCCCCAACGCGCCAAGTTCGCTTGGCCTGGCCGAAAGCCGTCTCCGTAGCTCGCACGGCAAGCCGAGAGTTGCTGGGGTCCCCCCAGTGCGTCGAGTTCGCTCGACCCGACTCCGCCGTTCCCGAGATTTCACCGCCGAGTATCGGGGTTCTCCCCGATACGACCTCTCCGAGCACCAGGGTACACCCTGGTCGGCCGAGTACACTCGGCACCGCCACTTTCTTCTCCGCACACAGCTGGGGCCCTCCCCGGCTGGCCGAGTTCACTCGGCATTCAGACAGACAGACGAGGGGCACACCCCCCGTCAGCCGAGCACTCTCGGCAGGGAACGGGCACACCCGTTCTCCGATCTCAACGATCCACCGAACGATCCCGCGAAATATCCACCCTCGCGACAACACCCGCGACACGCGTGCACGTTTAAATCCACGCCGATTTAAAGGCCCGCGACGAACACGTGCGACACCGCCGCCGCCGCGCGCGCCCCGCGCCACCGAACTGCGCGCCGCGATCAGTATCGCGCCGACCGCCCGAGCGATCTCTTATTTTGTATTCACGCATTATCCGCGCGCCGATCGTCGTCTCGCCCGTCCACGGCCACGAACATTAAACGCGACGATTCGGTGCATTCCATCGCACCACTCTTAGTCAAATAAACATCGTTATTTATTATCATTCTCGCCTAACAATTTAATCACGCCTTTCTGTCTCCAACGTCCTCGCTTCTCCTCCTGGTAACCGACTGACCGCTCTCCGCGCGGGAAAGCGAGACCGTTTTATGTTTATAAAATAATTTTATCATTAATTATTTTTTTTTTATCTTTAGTCAGCAATACCGAGACCATATAATAAGCCTTCTGCATGCAAAACATCTTTTTCGGCTTGATATCGGAGCGATTTTGTTGCCGAAAGAGTCTCTTTTGCAGCGTCCGACATCCTGTGCTCTGCATTGTTGACTCGATTATTATCGATTGACTCCGCAAAATTGTAGGATCTCGTCCCAATAGTCAAGTTCACGACTTCTTAACAAGCTTTTGATTCTTAACAAACTTTTGAAGTCATCATTGAAAGTACAGACGGTAATGTATGTACAAATATCCAAAATTGTCTTACCGCTAAAGATTGTGAAACCAAAGACCACACGATGGCATTCAAACTTTCATTACTATTCTGCTGTAACATAACTACAATGTCAAAAAATGATTGGATCATTCAGGTAAACGGAACAATTTATCAACGGCGCGGAGGCATCGATTACATGACGAGAAACGCTATACACCGTTTGACATAATCGACTGTATTTTTGTTAAATATTCGGAATTTCGCATTCGGATAAAAAAACTTTATATTCTTAAGACCACAAACTATCAATTTAAGCAATAAAAAATTTTTCGATTTTTTGAAAGTTTCAGGATGTACTAATCTCTTAAAGCGTAATTTTATTTACACAACGACATGTGTTAAAATTTTATTATGTAAGAAGACATACCTCGTAAATTCATGATTACGCACAATATAATAAAAAACAGTTTATTTACTGGAGATGAATATTTGGAGATGATTATTTATATAAATAAAATAAATTTTTGTAAAGAAAATAATTTGGGGCGCGTGAACTTGGTGCTTATTACCTTTTTTGAAGAGATAATTTTAAAAGATAATTTTTCGAATATATATAATAAGTTCGATTAACATGAAAAGCACATTAAATCTCTTTAATTAATGCTTAATTAGATATAAGCAGGTATAAGGTGAGCATCCTGAGTCGATCACTTCTCAAGAAAAAAAGCAACGAAGCTGGTTTAAAAAACACACAATGACAATCAAGCTTTGTGCTATAAGCCGTAAAGTCTATTTACATATTCGTAACTGATATTATTATGTCGTATTACATAATCAGTCGAGTTTTTGCCACTACTCCCTATGTGTAGTTATGCAAGTCGCCAACAATAGTATTAATCTCTGTTACGTGAATGTCAGCAGACGTCATCGTCAAGCGTAATCACATATGCGTGATAATAACAATAGACTTACGAGAAATACAGGAGGATGAGTAACCCTATTGTAATAGTTAATAATATATGCGTATGCAATCGATAAAATATCGTTCCAAATTCACTTCCTGCTTTGCGCGATGAGTGAAAGTGACATAACATATATTTAAACGTAATGTGTGTATTTGTACAGAGTTCATTTAATTTCGTTAATTTATTCTATAAAATTATACTTAGTTTTTATTCAACTACTATTGACTATAGTATCAATCTTCAGTCAAATCGAACTAATCTTTAAAATAATATTTATGAAGTATGCATAAATAGATCAACAGGAAGGAAAATCGACAAGGCTATGGCTTTCCAACTTGTGTTCATAGAGTTAAATTTATTGTAATATACGAAATCGGAATAAAGAGATTTATAATTTTAATGTTGTTTCTAATGAAGACATCTCATCGGCCATAGCAAGCAATATGTATAATAAATAAAAACCGAGACTCTCTCATCAGTTTTATGAGATATCTAAATTGCATTTAATCTCAGCTAGCTGATATTCTGACATGAATAAATTTAATTCACGTGGATAGAAACGTGTAGCGTAATATATATATATATATATATATATATAAAAAACCGATTACAAACCGACGACTTTCTTCCCGCTGCTGCTGCCGTCGTCTTACATGGAATCGATAACGCGATAAAGGACATACGTTCACCGTTATCAGCTTTGTTAATCTAATATTGAAATTCTAAAAGGAAATATTTTTAATGATAAAAATACATAGATTAACAATGAAATATCAAATTTAGAAAACAAATCAACATACGCTATACATACGTATTGACAATATAAATGTGTCAATACGTATGTATAGCGTAT